AAACGTCCATTATTTCCAGATAGGCATCGTGATTTAATAAGAAAAAAAATATTTTCATTTCAGGGACCTATGTCTTAGACCTAATACATATATACATTATGTTATTGATCGCGTTTGTGTACAGTTGTCTGATACATCGTCATGATTTTGTTCATTTCATGCAAATGCAATTAACAATTACATACTGTCAAGATTAGATAAAGTGTCTTTTCAGCGAGTGTGTAATTAATTGTTACGGCATGTGCTGATCATTCCTCTCTCTGTCAGTGACATGTTAACTGATAGCCTGACACCGTCCGACACACTAGATGGGACGACTGCAGGCGTTGGCTCATCAGTGCCATGTTAACTGATAGCCTAAAACTGTCCGACACACTAGATGGGACGACTGTAGGCCTTGGTTCATCAGTGGCATGTTAACTTATAGCCTGACACTGTCCGACACACTAGATGTGACAACTGTAGGCCTTGGCTCATCAGTGGCACGTTAACTGATAGCCTGACACTGTCCACCACACTCTATGGGACGACTGTATGACATCATTCATTAGTATAATGGTCTGTTTAATGAAAACCTCACATTTTACTGTAAAGCTTTATAAATAACGCGCTCTACTTTCAACTGGAACTCAAGATTGCGATTTACTGGTTTTCTAGTAAGGGCTAATTACTATCTGTTTTTGAGGCTTTAAATGTAACACGTTCTATTTCAACTGGGACTCTTGTAAATAGTTAGTAATTGGCACATATTAGTAATTCTGTAAAGGTAAATCTTGTACCCTGCCAAAGTCCATCGAACTGTAAACACAAAAACGTCCATTATTTCCAGATAGGCACCGTGATTTAAAAAGAAAAAAAATATTTTCATTTCAGGGACCTATGTCTAAGACCTAATACATATATACATTATGTTATTGATCGCGTTTGTGTACAGTTGTCTGATACATCGTCATGATTTTGTTCATTTCATGCAAATGCAACAATTACATACTGTCAAGATTAGATAAAGTGTCCTTTCAGCGAGTGTGTAATTAATTGTTACGGCATGTGCTGATCATTCCTCTTTCTGCATTGTAAGGTTTATATTACATGAAATCAATTCATTACATGAAACTAAGATGTATTGCTATATATCCTATGTCATGTATATTGTGTCATAAACTTGTAACACGCACACACGCGCGCACACACACACACATACACAAACACACACACACACACACACACACACACACACACACACACACACACACACACACACACACACACACACAAATGTAGCTAGGGTTATACGAGGGGGGATCGATGACACATGTGACTGTTGTCGGATGTCTCATGATTAGGAATTGTGAAGCATGAGTTCAGGTGTAAGCGTCTACAAATCTGGAACGCTACATACACTTACCGTGCGTTTATGAGAGTGGGTGAGTTTTGGTTTATTGCTGCTGTGAAGAGTATTTATACGTTCATCGTTATACGCTCGTCTTGATGTGGGAGGAAAGCTCGACGTAATACGGGTCTCAGACATTTATCACTTTTGTGCAACACAAGAGCACGGGTATGGTGCTGACAAATCTAAATGCCAAATCAGCTGAATCTGGAATTTGAATTCACGCCCATACACAGTGAATTTCAGATCTGTAGTGACTGGACTAATTATTCTGTGTCATTTTTCCTGAAACGGAATAAAATCAGACACTGTTCAACCTTTCGGTGGTACGTAACTCTGCCCGGTAGTACTGCCACCATATACCCTCCACAACATAGTGGTCCCAGATACAGCGCAAGTACACGTCTGGTACACATCATCACGTCATAAAGCTTATGTGTATTCAACATTTAGACTTCAAAACTCATTAAACAATGTATCTCTATAGACAGTGAAATAAAGTGGGATTTATTGATAACTTATATCTGAAACGTTATAGACATACATGAATCATCTATATTTGTTCAACAAGCATAAAGATAGTGAGAGCCGTATTGTACCTGTAGATGGTTCATCAGTGGCATAACGATAGCGAGAACCGTAGTGTACCTGTAGATGACTTGGAGGACGGATGCACGTAAGTAAGACATTGCGCTGGTGCCAGGGGTGAATCAGAACACTGCATGTGATACTACGTGATACTAATTCCCCACGTGTTTCTGACTTAGTTTGAGTACAGGTGCATGTGATACTACGTGATACTAATTCTCCACGTGTTTCTGACTTAGTTTGAGTACAGGTGCATGTGATACTACGTGATACTAATTCTCCACGTGTTTCTGACTTAGTTTGAGTACAGGTGCATGTGATACTACGTGATACTAATTCTCCACGTGTTTCTGACTTAGTTTGAGTACAGGTGCCTGTGATACTACGTGTTACTAATTCTCCACGTGTTTCTGACTTAGTTTGAGTACAGGTGCCTGTGATACTACGTGTTACTAATTCTCCACGTGTTTCTGACTTAGTTTGAGTACAGGTGCCTGTGATACTACGTGTTACTAATTCTCCACGTGTTTCTGACTTAGTTTGAGTACAGGTGCCTGTGATACTACGTGATACTAGTTCTCCATTGGTTTCTGACGTTGTTTGAGTACAGGTGTTTTCTTGAAACTTAGATAACATGAGTTAGAGTGCACGTGTGGAAGCAGTAAAAGATGCGGTGAAGATAATCCTTTATCTTGATATTGTTAACAAGAAATCAGATGTATATTATATAACACTGAACTGAGGCTCCTTCCTTTGAGTTAACTTTAGTAGTCCAAAATCCGAATCGTATGAAAATAGAATAGATTACTTTACCTAAAGGTACCTTTTACTTTGATGATTATTGTATCCCCAAATGGGACAAAAACAGACGATCCCCATTCAACGAATATATACATTTGTTATTTTGAAATCGTAGTCTTTTCACCCTCAATTTAATGAATACGCACCAAGCATTATAGGATTGCTAATTGTTTCATTTAATAGTGTCATCATTTTTCGAAGCAGCCCATAGCAACGTCTCGTTATATCAAATAACACAAACAGTTTACGTGACGTCGTTTCAACAATGATATGTCGCCAATTCTTATACATTTTCTCAATAGAAAAGACTATGGAAATATACTCTTCAAAAAAAGAAAGAAACGCAATAGGGATATTTTTGGCTATAAAAGGGACCAAGAAGTGCAAAATGAAGAGGTTTAATGTGGTATAGTGTCAGTGACAAATTTCCCGGATCAAAATGATCACAACAAGGACAAAGACACCATTAGTCGGGAAACACATACGATTCAGAAAAAACGCACCCAGTTAACAAAAGAGCCATGGAGCGACATGTACTGCACGTGCAGCAGCACTATGAACGGTATAAAAGTTTAGTATTTTTGATTGCCTGGCATCTGCGTCAATCGAACAGTGACAGTTTAACAACATGCTAAGATTAACAGAACTGCAAAGAAGCAACGCCATAGGCCGCTTGCAGGAATCTCGATCAGCTGTAGCAAGGGTTTTCAAAGTAGCGCCAAGCACCATCACAAGGCTATAGGATCGGTTTCAACAGCATGGGACAACACGTGATCGGCCAAGGTCGGGACGACCAAGAGTAACCACCCCGTCCATGATCGCTACATCCGACTGCGCCACCTACGTGAAATGACGACCACAGCCAAATCAAACGCATCCCAAATACCCGGACTGCGCAGAATCTCCGACCAGACCGTACGAAACCGTTTAAGAGCAGTAGGTCTACGAGCAAGAGGTCCTGTTCGACGCGTCATATCGAGTCGACAACATCGTCAACAGCGACCGCATTGGTGTCGTCAACACAGGGTATGGGATCAACTGCGACGAAGAGATGTCTGATTCAGCGACGAATCACGATTTCTCGAGGGGATGAAAGAGCACGAGTCTATAGACGTCGGGGAGAACGCAACGCCGGAAACTGCGCAAAGGAAATGGATAGGTTTGGTGGGGGTAGCGACATGATGTGGACGTCTATCTCTTATCATGGCAGGGAGGTTTGGTTCATATCCAGGGTAATCTTTCCACTCAACGATACAACTGTGTATTCCAGCAGGACAACACTCGACCGCATACAGCACGGATCACAAGAGCCTGTCTCCACAACAACCCCGTTGATGTCATACCCTGGCCCTCCAGATCCCCGGATCTGAACCCGATAGTCAACCACAACCCCAGACGTTGATGCAGTTGGCTTTTGCGTTGCAGGCCTTTTGGGCTGCCATTATCCAGGGTGTGATTCGCATGCTCGTTTCTTCCATGGGCAGGAGATGTCACGCCGAGATCTATTTCAACGGGGGACATATGCGTTAGTGATGTTAGCTGACCTTCACCTTGGACTTTTTCTATGTACCGATAACTGAGATTACTACGATCACCAAGTGTTCTCTCCACAACATTTAGACTCAGTACCTTGTACGGTTCCTCATATAAATGTATTTTTATACCTCACACAAATTTTGCTTTGCGTTTCGTTTTTTGAAGAGTATATATAGGCTTCCTCTCAACACGGAATTGCAGAAAATATATCGCTCGTGAAATAATATTGAATTAGGTAATTCCTTGTAGCCCGTAGGTTATTCTCTAATTCGATACCGCTGGCGGACCAGTCAAAATGCAGTATTATAAAATGTTATGTCAGAATGAAGTTTGAACTTGACACACAACGTGAAAGTCAATTCTAAGGTGAAAACAAGTCGCGCACAACATAATGATGTCAACTAACATGAGTAAAATCATTATTACTAGACATTACGTCGTCATCTTGATTGTTTTCTAAAACTGAGCATACCTGATAATAGACAATGAGTGAGTGAGTTGGGTTTAACGCCGCTTTTAACAGTATTATAGTTATATCGCGGCGTGTCGGCTTAATGTGGGAGGAAATCCCGAAGTGATGCAGGTGTCAGGCGTTTACCACTTCGGTGAAACCCACGAGCACGGGTATGGTGCTGACAAACCTAAAAACATAATCGGGGCGAACCGGGATTCGAACCCACAATCAGAGGTTTCTGGCGTGCCCAGTCGCGCAATTCTGCACAGCGAATTGCAGCGCCTCAAACGACTGGGCTACCCGTGCCCCTTGATAATAGACAAGCACATATTTGCATATGCAGAGGATTTGCATTAGATTATTGAGTGAAACCAGCTAACTTCCACTACTATGCACTAGGATGAAACTGTGGTTGGTCCTGCGTGTGTGTTGGAGCCGGGCGAGGGTCCTCGGGATCATCATCCTCATCTGCGTCGGATTCTGCACGATTTACTTCTCCCCAAATCACCAGTTTGAACGTAAGTGACACATGACTCAGGAACCGTATCACATAAATAATTATAAAAGAACTCTCAGTTGGGACATGATATTGTTCGTCTATACCACAGTTAGATAATAAAGCCTTGCACTGTTGAAGTAAAGTAATCTACCCTCAGAGAGGCTTTCATAGCCAATGATAAGGATCAACTTGATAATGACTGAAATCTTTCAAGAACCCCTTTCCCCAGATTGTGTAGTCACCCGCACGTACACATACCAACCACACGTGTTTGTACAGGATGTCCAGCTGCCTTACTAACACTACACCAGGCAGAACAGTTGAAGCATCACATTTCTTCAAACTGCATGTTTTTTACATTTTCTGTTCGTTTATTGGATTCAGTTGTTAATAGTTTTTGGCAAATAAGGCTAAATTGGTATCTTCTTTCAATGTTCTAAATGCAGGTGGGAGGATGCACGCTCGGTCCACATTCAACGGCGATCAAGGGAGTGCCACACAGGAACAGGACCCCAGACCTAACCAGAAGCCAACCCTCACTCAGTCTGATTGCCAAAATGATAGAAAAATGGCCAAAGATGGATGGATACATCTATTGCTCCGAACTCATAATACATCAGAGAGACTGTATCAACCACATCGGGTGGCAGAAGGCACACTTGGGTTATCAAAGCTCGACGCCGTACCAACTGGACATGAACAGAGACAGGAATTCCAAAAACGCCTGGACACCCTACAGTCTGAGTGCAGTTCTACTTATAACGAACAGGGACACGTGGACAGTGTGTACATACAAGACAATTCAAGACTTGCTTACTGCTCTGTTGCCAAAATTGGGTGTACTTTCTGGAAAAGAGTATTTTTATTCCTGAACAATGACACAGGATCTCACAATGTGACAAGCCCATTCGGCATACCTAGGATGTTCGTTCATTACGGTAAAAAACTACACACTTCCATAGTACATGAGATGGGTGCCAAATATGACAATTACACTCGTTTTTTATTCTCAAGAGACCCGTTCAGTCGCCTGTGGTCGGCGTATCTGGACAAATACTATCTTCCAGATTTCTGGGTGAGAAAGGATATCATGAGTACGTTAGCTGCGAGACGAGATTCCGTATCAGAGGAAGCCTCTAGATGCCACAATGACGTCACCTTTCAGGAATTTTTAGAATATGTTGTCTCCAACCATCCACGAGAAATGAATGGGCACTGGCAACCAATAAAGCACAGGTGTGACCCGTGTCAGTTCAAGCCAAACATCCTTGGGAAACAGGAAACATTTACTGATGATGCGACCTTTATTTTACAGGGAGTTGGACAAGGCTGGATGATAGAGTCATTTGACTACGACGCTTATGTAAGAGAAGAGTTGAGTATGCTCATTGACTATAATTTCAGTTTGATAAAACGCATGTTTTATCAACGCTGTATAAACGATACTGGCCTTATGCACTTACTATGGCGCGTTTTTCAGCTTAACGGGTATTTACCTAACTACACTGATGCTGGGGCTGTAGTTCAGAAGCTCCGTGTAGCGACGTCGTACAAGCAGGCATTTGAGGAATATGTTCTGAACACCTACTCATCAGCGCCAAGGGCAGAAAAAAGGAAGTGGAAAGCTCAGAGACAAGACGCCATTAAAGCTGCCTACAGAACAATACCACAGGCAATTCTAGATTCTATCAGATTTTATTACAGAGATGATTTTAGATTATTTGGCTATGATGGCATCCCTCCTGGACAAACACCATTCAGCACAGATACTCGACAGTAGCTCCAAGTGACTCATGTGTTTATCTGTCTTGTAATTCTCAAGTTATTGAACAACAAAGACATATGCATGGTTCATTTACGCCTATTGTATGACATTGTGGGACTACCTATACTACAGTTGATATCTCCTATTATTATATTTCTATGCCCAAAACGTAGGGTATAGTGGGAATCATGCATTAATCTTCTGATCTATATTTATATGGTATTGGCAAATGAAAATGATCTGATCTGATCTGATCATATCAGCTGGGGAGTAAGCGATCACATCTAATGGTTGGTGTGGTGGGATGGTGGCGCACTAGGTCGTTAAAGAGGTCGGGGTCAAATTCGAAAATTGTATTTTGCAATCAACGTCGCTAATACCGGGTAAACGACCTCTGTTAGCCAGAGATGCACGACTTCTTCGAGGCATTCTTCTGATGAGTCGACGAATGTCAGCTAGATGCATGATGTTCTACTCATCAGTGAGAGCAACACAGAGTCCATTGAGTATCATGTTCAAGTGTAGGCACAGTGAGAGGGTGACACCAAAAACTGCACCAGCAACTCAGGGATTAGCGGTAGTAACAGTGTCACTGTGCTGCTCCTAAAATATGATTTTGATACTTGTCACTACACAGAGCTACTGGCTGTTCCATAATTTTTTCCCAATAGATTCAAAGGCACGGTGGCCCAGTCGTCTAAGGTGCCGCAATTAGCTGTGCAGGGTTGCGTCCAATGGACATGCCAGAAACCTATGATCATGGGATCGAATCCCGGTTTGCCACTATTATATTTCTAGGTTTGTCAGCACCATACCCGTGGGTTTCACCGAAGTAGTAAATGTCTGAAACCTGCATCACATTGGGCTTTCCTCTCACATTAAGCTGACATGCCGTGATATAACTGGAATACTGTTCAAAGTGGTGCTAAACCTAACTCAATCATTCTAAATAGATTCCCAATTTGGAACATGCCACGCTAACAACCGTGCCATAATGTACATAAATCATAATGCCATGAAAACTGCAACAGGATTTGCTTCCTAAAACACTTACCTTCAAATATGTGTACTTATATTTTCATTCATGTAACTTTCTATGTACTTATTGGGTTGGAATACCCGAGAAGGTATGTTTATTTGGCCGCCATCATGGAGCAATCACGGTGGGTAAAAGATCTTTACTGGTCTGGTTTCCAACTTGATAAGTAAATATATTGTTGCACTTGTACTTGCATTTGAAGGCATGTGTCTTAGGAAGTGAGTCATGTTGCATTTGTCAATAGATCAGATTTGGATCTGGGATATATTAGAAAAATACCTATACTCAAGGAAGACACCAGGACTTTTAATTCACACCATTGTCTATCCTCTGCTTTTGGTCACCCCCAAAACAACAATAAATGTTAAATCGGTTGATAGACATTTTATTTCTCCATAAAGTGCACTATCAACAACTTGGAATGACATAGAGATGTCCATGAAACATTTGTCCAAACTGAGTATCAATAGATACAACTGTAACACATATCACAGGGTTACACCGATATATAGATACAGCTGTAACACATATCACAGGGTTACACCTAATCACCCACAACAACATACATATAGGCACAAATGTAGCCAAATAATGTCAGTGATCCAAGAGGAAGGGAGATCACTGGCTTTGGGCAAGGCACTGCAGAGCCAGAAATATGTGAAAAGGGCTCACTTGTACTAAGCTTTAACATTTAGATGATTGCAATTCTGCCACTGCTGTCCAGCTCCTATTTCTGCAGGATGAGTTACCATCCAACATGCACTTATTTAATTAGTATCTAATCTGTATCATATAATGTAGGAAACAATGAAAATGTGAGATTCCAACATATGTTTCAGGGTAAATACAATGTAATATACAACAGCAAACCATTTGAAAAATATATGCATCACCCAACACTCAGTAAAAATACATCTCACCAACATCAATGATTTCAATCTATTTATTCAAGGTTACACCATTACTAATCTATAATGTTGATTTGTATACATGTTTTTGTAAATACACTTTTCAAGTCAAGCTGATGCAAGTCAATACAAGTATACATATTTCCATATACATCTGCTCACATGCCTACTGATTGACCAGAAATTAATATCTCAATGTACAAGAGGGATAAAATAAAGTATATAAAAACCAATAAAATATTATGACTATTATTTGCACATTGCCACTCATAAAATAGACAAACTGAAATGTATGCCAGCTTTATCACAGTATCGCATATCTGTATTGTGAGCCTCTCAGGATGCAGGGAACATGATAGCATACGTCACATAGATCGGCTTCCGCAGGCCTTCCATCTTGATCACCTGGATACGGAGAGAGGGAGTGAGTGAGTGAGTGAGTGAGTGAAACAGGTGAGAGAGGGAGTGAGTTAGGTGTAACACTGCTTTGAATAATATTACAGTTGTATCATTGTCATCACACTCGGCAGTATTACAGCCATATGACAACAACTTGTTAATAATCCACACAAGACAATCCAGTGATAGATATTCTGAGCAACAATCCTCTCTGCCAGGGAGAGGGGGACAGGGGGGAGGGGTATGAAGACATGGAACCAGCCAAGTCGCTGAGCCTAACCCTCCGATCCATTTGGTCACCTCTTATTACCAGCACAGATTGCTGGTGACTTGAGTAAGTGTGACGTGGCAGGATCCAAGACCCAAAGTTCCATTACATACACCATTGTAACAATACAAAAGAACATTTCATATGCAGTTGTACACAATGCACAGGGAAATCTTGTAATAAGTTTACACTTCTCAACGATGCACTAACAGTACCAAAGTTGTTTTTCAATAAAAATATCCAATACAAATCTATTTCTTGGCATGCGAGTGGTACTCTCTTTTAAGAATCTATTTTCCAGCAATACAGATGACAAAGCATGCACCTTGTTAGAGGTACCCACCTCACTCTTGCTTGTCTTCTCTCCAAGACCAAACTTGTGTGTGAGTAGCCCTGTGGTGGTGAGGTGGTTCTCCCCTCGATGGCTGTACTGCACTGTAATACAGTAGCGCACCTCACGGTCTTGACGCATGGAGAAGGTGTGTCTCTCACACTGGCGGAAACTCAGGACAGGGTCACCAGGACGTAGACGCTGGAAACAACATTACAACTGAAACACAGTCCATGTATAGTCTCAGTCAAGCAGTTTGGTAGAAGTCTTTTCAGAATGATCAACAACTGCTCACGAAGTCCCATTCCGACCTCCACATTACAGTCTAATGTTATAAAAAACTAAAGATATAGACATAATACATATAGAATGGTAAGACACTACTAACAGAACAGGAGAAATGTAATCAGAAGCATAGAAGCAGGATGGGCTACAGGAGATTTTGGTTTCCGAAACTGCCCAATATTCCAGGTAGAAATTCTATCCGCCAGATTTTGAAAGACAACTACTAGCACACGGCTTGGTTTGTATTCTATAGACCACACTAGGGACTTTTCGGGTACACTAGATAGAGAAGCTCTTGTCGAATATCTCTGCAAAGAACATGGTTTCCGAGAACAAGGCAACCTCGCAGCAGCGATGCGAGAAATCACTCCAACTATTCTCGCAAATACAGATAGCGTTGGAAAACATGTTTGTACATGGGTACACACCTACAGTGGCTATACAACAAGGACGAAGTTGTACAACAAAGTCCAATTTCGAAACAGGAGAAATAGGAGAACAACTTGGCAGACATCTTGTACAATGTACAACTCCCCACTGGCACATATATGTGATCCCAACTCTTTTACCTGCATGTAGAAGACATAAGTTCCTGATGTGCTCTGGCGAACAGCCTTCAGCTCAAAGTGAAAGCCATGGAGAGAGAGGATCTCGGAGTGATAGTGAGGCTCCTGTGTGAAGAGCAGGAACATAGGTTGGCATTGGTTCACAATCATCAAAAGTAAATATTGTCCCCAAAATACCTGGTGCTATGTAGAATTATGCTATATTTCAAAACTTTATTCACGGACTGTTAAAAACACATGTTGAAAGTTAACACTGAAATTCTCACTAGATCTGACAAGCCAATAATAGGGGGGATTACTCACATCATCCACAACGAAGCCCTGTCTCACAGCTGACATGTTGAAGTTCTTCTGGGCAGACATGTCTCCACCACCCTGGAGCTGCAGCAGACATAAAGTTGCTTGTTTAGTTGCTTGGTTTTTGTTTTACACCGCACACAGCAATATTCCAGTTATATGATGGCGGTTTGAGCATAATCAAGTCTGGACCAGAACATCCAGAGATTTATATTGTGTTCAATGATCCACGCTGTCAGAGTACTATGAGACGCTTTCAACCAAGTCACAGAGTCTGACCACTCAATCCATTTGGGTGCTTCCAACGACCAGCATAGATTGCTGGAGACTATGGGAAGCAGACATATGGGAAGCAGACATAATCAGTACCATCACATCAGTATCTGCCCATACTCACTGCATGGTATTGCTGAGACAGGAGAGCCCTGTGTGTCAGCTAGTGGGTGTGTGGGCGCAGTAAGATGGGTGTGGCAGGAAGTGTATACTCACAGCATGGTAGTGCTGAGACAGGAGAGCCCTGTGTGTCAGCTAGTGGGTGTGTTGGGGCAGTAAGATGGGTGTGGCAGGAAGTGTATACTCACAGCATGGTATTGCTGAGACAGGAGAGCCCTGTGTGTCAGATAGTGGGTGTGTTGGGGCAGTAAGATGGGTGTGGCAGGAAGTGTATACTCACAGCATGGTAGTGCTGAGACAGGAGAGCCCTGTGTGTCAGCTAGTGGGTGTGTGGGCGCAGTAAGATGGGTGTGGCAGGAAGTGTATACTCACAGCATGGTATTGCTGAGACAGGAGAGCCCTGTGTGTCAGCTAGTGGATGTGTGGGGGCAGTAAGATGGGTGTGGCAGGAAGTGTATACTCACAGCATGGTAGTGCTGAGACAGGAGAGCCCTGTGTGTCAGCTAGTGGGTGTGTTGGGGCAGTAAGATGGGTGTGGCAGGAAGTGTATACTCACAGCATGGTATTGCTGAGACAGGAGAGCCCTGTGTGTCAGCTAGTGGGTGTGTTGGGGCAGTAAGATGGGTGTGGCAGGAAGTGTATACTCACAGCATGGTAGTGCTGAGACAGGAGAGCCCTGTGTGTCAGCTAGTGGGTGTATGGGCGCAGTAAGATGGGTGTGGCAGGAAGTGTATACTCACAGCATGGTATTGCTGAGACAGGAGAGCCCTGTGTGTCAGCTAGTGGATGTGTGGGGGCAGTAAGATGGGTGTGGCAGGAAGTGTATACTCACAGCATGGTAGTGCTGAGACAGGAGAGCCCTGTGTGTCAGCTAGTGGGTGTGTGGGGGCAGTAAGATGGGTGTGGCAGGAAGTGTATACTCACAGCATGGTAGTGCTGAGACAGGAGAGCCCTGTGTGTCAGCTAGTGGATGTGTGGGGGCAGTAAGATGGGTGTGGCAGGAGGTGTTTACTCACAGCATGGTAGTGCTGAGACAGGAGAGCCCTGTGTGTCAGCTAGTGGGTGTGTGGGGGCAGTAGGATGGGCGTGGCAGGAGGTGTATACTCACAGCATGATAGTGCTGAGAGAGGAGATCCACCAGCCATCTCTGCGGCAGGATGTTCATTATCTGCATGTCCTGAATGTTCCCAGCTGAAAGACAATCATACTGAAGCACTGTATGTACATTACTTTACAAGGACAATCAGAGGAATCAAATCATATCTCTGATTTCTCCAAGGATTTACTGCTTAAAACTATTGACCACCTGTGTTGAACAAAGCATGTTGAAGTACAAGATGTGGCTGAATGCACCTTCTACATCATGCAACTTTATAGGTGATATAGAACTGTTCTTGCAACAATCTATGCGAAGTTGTACCAAAGACAAACAAGAAAACAGCGTTATCATTATCCCCTGCCACGGGGCACATGCTTGTTTAAATAGTAGTGAATATAAACTTTCAAATAGAGTCCTATAGCCTTTAGATGAGATAGGCACTTGGGACAGTTTTTGTCATCAGAAAAAATGATTAAATGTGAAATGAATGCACACAAAAGGCCCGTTCTCTGGAAAAAATAACTCAGTCTTTATAAGAATCTCTTAGATAAGCATGCAAACTTTCATTTATGTAACTTCAGCTGTTTCTGAGAAAACTTGTTCCCATTGCACACACTAAGCACCAAGTTGAAAAGCATGAAACAAGGGCCATAACTCTGTAAAACAATAATTGACGGGACCAAGTTTAGAACTCAGTCTTGACAAGTATCTCTTAGATAAGCATGCAAACTTTCATTCAAGTAACTACAGTAGTTTCAGAGAAAAAACTTAGTTGCAATGCATGGAGCAAGGGCAAAAACTCACGAATTCACGACACCAATCTTGGAACACATTTGATATCAAGAGCGGTAAAATCAGTGTGTAAAGTTTCGTTTCTCTGAGAAAATTCGTCCCCTTGATGCGGATGGACGGATGGAATGTATTGATATGGATTTGATTTTATGTGGCAAATCTTAGCTCTGCTCAGCAACTCAAACCAGTAAAGCAGTTCAATTGTTGACTACAAGTACTACAATATCCTAGTCTCTATGTTCAATGTATGGACAGGCTACCAGTACTGCCACACAGGAGACACCTCCAGGTATGGAACCCAGTGTGCTACGCAAGTGTAACACTCACAAAAGACATACTTTGTATGGTACTTTGCAGGTAACGCATCATGTTGATCATTGTTGAGTTATGTTGATCTTAATAAGATGTTCAAAAGAACAAGTGTTATACATCCCTCAAAGTCCAGTAGTCAAATGGCCAGACAGGGTGAGGGAGCCTACCTATTTCTGAACAGGAAGTTACTTTACAGGTGAAATCTTGTAAGTGATGTTTACAATGACACATCCTAAATTCAACAACTGACACATCTGTTTTATATTAGTTTCTATCAAAATGGTGTGTTTTTTTACTGATGATTATAATGCATGTAGTCTTTTACTGTCTGTGATCCCATGTAGTCGTACAGCTGCAAACAGCGGAGCATACATCAGACTCTCGTCTCTCTCCAGTAAGGCAGTGTTCTTGGATAAGCTGCAAAGAGAACACAAAGGGTTGTAAGACAAGGCCATGGCTGTTACAGAGGACAAGTTATGGCCATGGCTGTTACAGAGGACACGATATGGCCATGGTTGTTATCCAGAGGACACGATATGGCCATGGCTGTTATACAGCAGACATGATATGGCCATGGTTGTTATACAGCAGACATGATATGGACATAGTTGTATATCCAGAGGACATGATATGTCAATGGTTGTTACTGAGGAAACAATATGACCATGGTTGTTAGAGAGGACATGATATTGCCATGGTTGTTTTAGAGGAAATGATATGGCCATTGTTGTTAGAGAGGACATGATATGGCCATGGTTGTTAGAGAGGACATAAAATTGCCATGAATGTTAGAGAGGACATGATATGGTCATGGTTGTTAGAGAGGACATAAAATCACTGTGGTTGTTAGAGAGGACATGATATTGCCATGGTTGTTAGAGAGGAAATGATATGACCATGGTTGTTAGAGAGGACATGATATGACCATGAGTGCTAGAGAGGACATGATATGGCCATGGTTGTTAGAGAGGACATGATATGGCAATGGTTGTTACAGAGGGGATGATTATATTGCCATGGTTATTAGAGAGGACATGATATGGTCGTGGTTGTTAGAGAGGAAATGATATGGCCATGGTTGTTAGAGAGGACATGACATAACCATGGTTGTTACAGAGGACATGATATGGCCATGGTTGTTACAGAGAACATGATATATATGATCATGGTTGTTATAGAGGACATGGTATGGCCATGGTTGTCACTAGGACATGATATGGCCATGGTTGTTACAGAGGACATAATAAGGCAAAGGTTGTTATACAACAGAAATGATATGGCCACGGTTGTTACAGAGGACATGATATGACCATCGCTGTTACAGGGGACATGATATGACCATGGTTGTGACATAAGACATGATATGGCCATGGTTGTTACTGAGGACACGATATGGCCATGGTTGTTACAAAGGCAATATGGCCATGGTTGTTATAGAGAACATGATACGGCCATGGTTGCTACAAAGGACATGATATGGCAATGGTTGTTATAGTAGACATGATAAGGCCATTGTTGTTACAAAGGACATGGTATGGCCACGGTTGTTCGAGAGGACATGATATGGCCCATCACCTTCAAGTCATGTTATGGTTTAGGAACAGGCTGGGCTAGTTTGGTGATTACCCAGCATGAGGAATTGAGTCTTTGGAACCAATTGCTACTTAATAAGGATTGGATGGTAACGATGTATGATCAGTGTCATTCTGTGGATGCTCATGTTATCCATGACTGGCTTGCCGGTGTAAAGTCTTAAAGTATACCCCCCCTTCAAAGTATACCCGGGGTAGATTCTGGGAGCTCCCAGAATCTACCCGGGTATACTCTGAACGGGGGTAGATTTTGGCACCTTACACCGGGTCCATACTCGTAGTGCATAATTAGAGACTGTCATAATAGAGGTGGAATGCTGTGGGATAACATATGTTTAGGCATCCACTAACTGCCATCTGAAACTAGGTGCTACCAGTTGAAACAAGCCTCAGTTACTTATGAACAAGCATCATAATATAAACAATCTGTTCCAACTACGTTGATGTGTTACCTATTAAAAAATGCCAGGACGGAGCTGTGTGAAGGCATGAGCTGGATGTCGGGGTTCACCTGCAGGAACAGCCAGTAGACCAGCGTCTTGTACACGCTGTACTCGTTGTACACAAACAATCTGCAAGAAGGAAACAAGGAAATCACAGTGTGCAGGACAAGTCACAGGAGTCAGAACGCTACACACAGTGTGCAGGACAACAGTCACAGGAGTCGGAAATCAACACACAGTGTGCAGGACAACAGTCACAGGAGTCAGAAATCAACACACAGTGTGCAGGACAACAGTCACAGGAGTCGGAAATCAACACACAGTGTGCAGAACAACAGTCACAGGAGTCGGAACTCTACACACAGTGTGCAGGACAACAGTCTGAGGAGTTGGAACTCAACACACAGTGTGCAGGACAACAGTCACAGGAGTCGGAACTCTACACACAGTGTGCAGGACAACAGTCTGAGGAGTTGGAACTCAACACACAGTGTGCAGGACAACAGTCACAGGGGTCGGAACTCAATACATAGTGTGCAGGACAACAGTCACAGGAGTCGGAACTCAACACATAGTGTGCAGGACAACAGTTACATAAATGCAGGATGGACAGTTCACTTCCTACAAAACCTGATCTAGAGAATAATAAATTCTTCAGACTTTGTTATCATGTATGAGCATCACAACTTTTATGGATAAACAAAAGAAAATATAGAAGTAAACATGATAATCCCTTGATGAAGACTGTGATCCTACCTGTTAGATTTCAGTATTCTTTGCAGCAGATCGGCTGACATTTCTCTCAGCTGTATTTGACAGGCCAACTGCAAGGGAGACAAGAGTATACCTACCTGACAAGCTTCTGTTTCTAGCTGGTGCATACCCCACTACTGACACTAAAAACTCAACACAGCAAGGATGCTTATTCAAATGAATCTGTTGACTATGAGGCAACCCCATTGTACAAGCATTCAAAATCGTTGCTAAAATACGATTTACTGATTAAATTGTATTTCCTGTTCTGCTTGGCATTGTTTTATATGCAGAGAGTAAGATTACCGTGTGTATTGTCTTGTAAACTATGCCAGAGGTAGCAGTTAGCTTCACACACATTTTCTTGGAATCTACCAGAGATTAGGTTAAAAATAGTGTTACTTGCTCATGGTAATGTCTTTGTGTTGGGAGAAAAAAAACACATCAAACTCTTCTATGATGGGCAAATGGAAGCCAGCTAGATAATCCACTATTTCCAAACACATCCTGAAGAACCCAAACCATAACACCATAACATCATGTGGGGGGCCACCAAAGTACTGTCTACAACGACAACTGGCGACAAAGAAAACTACAAGAAGCTATTGACATCAGGAGACACCAGCCAGCCATGAACCGTGACCAGGGAACCTATCTGCCTTGTGCTTGGGACTTATTGCTTTGATCTTAGTGGGTGCAAATTATCTTGCTGGCTTCCATTTGCCCGTTGCTATTTCCATCCTTTCACCTATCAGTGCTAATTACCCCCGGCCTCCCATTTGCATGCCCATTGTCTATTACCTATCTATGATAACTGAGTACTGGCTTCCATACTGTCAGCGCTAGTTACTGTTAAGTGTTGGCCTCCATTGTCTATTGCTAATCACCTATCAGCGCCAATCATCTGTTGGCTTCCCTGTTAGTTTCCACCTTGTGTTATCTTATAAATTTTGTTGTCCTTACATGTACTATATATGCTCTCTGCCTCATGGCATTCAGTTGCAGTTTGTACTCCAAGCGAGCAACACCTCCCAAGCCAGCACAGAGCATTGCCTGATGGCCAGCCAAGGAGAAATCCATCATCGGTAATTATCACGTTATCCTTTCAGCCTTATTCACATACTCTTAAAATCACTCTCATCGTTTGTTTGTTTGTTGTTTAACGCCAAACCTAGCAATATTCCAGCTATAGGACAGCGGTCTGTAAATAATCGAGTCTTGACCAAGCGAGCAACACTTCCTAAGCCAGCACAGAGCATTGCCTGATAGCCAGCCAAGGAAACTCCATCATCGGTAATTATCACGTTATCCTTTCATCCTTATTCACATACATCACTCTCACCGAATTAATCACAAAACCCCTAAATCCTTAAAAACAACAACACTCAACTCTTATAAATAACCAACACCTTATCCTCCCCCATCTCCCTAACACAGCTCGCACTCATTTCTACTCACTACCCACGCCCACCACTCAAACACACCCTTTGACCCAACTCCTAAAAACAAAAAACACCTAATCCCCCCTTCTCCTTAACACAACGCACGCTCTTTCCTACTCACGACCCACGCCCACCACTCACATACCTCCACTCCTTCGACTAAAATATCTCCTATCGACTGTAAACATCTAAAAATAGCTCATGAACTAAACCACCAAGTTCAAAGTCTAGTCAAAATATCTAAAACCAGAAACTGGAAAAAATTCTGTGAAGAAATAAATAACCGTACAGACGCCAGAACGGTCTGGCGCAAAATCCACGCCATTAAAGGCTTAAAACGTCATAAAAAAACACCTAACATTAATAATTCAACAAACCCCGCTGAAAAGGCAAATAACCTCGCCAACCACTTTTCGGCCGTAAGCAGTAACAACAACTTTAGCCAAAAATTTCAAGATAAACTTAAAACAGAAAACAAATCCACTAAAGAACCAAATAATGACAACCTAGAAATAAACCACCCTTACACAATGGAGGAGCTACTCTACGTCATCCAAAACAGGAAAAAGGGCACAGCCCCAGGATTGGACCTAACTTCCTACCAAATAATTAAAAAACTCCCCCCTAAACTACTCCAAGCACTACTTAAATTATACAATCTCATCTATCAAAACGGACAAGTACCTACTCCCTGGAAACAGGCCTAAGTCATACCAATCCCTAAACCTAATAAACCAGCTAATCAGGCTAACTCCTATAGACCAATAACATCATAAACCCAGATCAAAGTGGTTTCACTCCTGGCCGCTCAACCTTAGATAACCTCGCCCGTTAGAGCAGGACATTAAAACAGGACAACTCAGCAAACAATATACTACAGGCATCTTCTTAGACTTCTCCAAAGCTTTCGACATGATATGGCACGACGGGCTAATACAAAAACTACAAAAAATAGGACTCAAAGGTCAAATAATAAACTACATCCAAGACTTCCTAAACAATCGTAAAATAACCGTGGGTATAGACCAAACGCTATCGGACCAATGTCCCCTAGAAAATGGCACTCCCCAGGGCACTATCCTCAGCCCCACACTCTTCAATATAATGATAAATGATCTATACGAGGGCCTATCCCCTAAAATAAACGCATCTAAATTCGCGGATGATGGAGCCATCTGGATCCGCACAAAAAGCATTAAAATGGCCCAAAACCTACTTCAAAAATCTCTTAACAAAATACAGCAATGGGCTGACAAATGGGGCTTCTCCCTTAACTCGGAAAAAACTACAGGAATAGTATTTAAACACAAAAACATGAAACCCGCCTCCCCAAATCTCCATCTAAACAACAAACCAATCCAATTTCTAAAACAAACCAAATTCTTAGGACTTATTTTCGATGAACATCTCTCCTGGGATGCTCACATAAATAATCTAATAACTAAATGTAGCAAAGATCTAAATACGCTAAGATGCCTCACTGGCTCAAACTGGGGGGCCTCCAAAGACACCCTCCTCTCACTCTATATATCACTAATTAGATCTAAAATAGACTACAGATGTGCCATATACGACACCCTAAACCAATCTTTGTATAATATATTAGATTCCATTTCAATTTATAATTTTTTATCGATAAATTAAAAAATTATTCACTATTTCCCCGCGATATTATTGAAAATAAAATTCTCGGACACACATTTCGACAAGGGTCCACATCGAACATGTCAAAGAGCAAAATAAAGACGTTTTAAACAAATCTTTAAATATATTATACAAAGTAATAAATAAAATCAACAAAAATATATCTAAACGTAATCAAGCTTACACCTTAGTTATTATTTCCATCTTTTCGTGCGATCGCGTGTAATATAAGACATCTCGGCTTTCATCGCCTTGAATTCTCGGCTCGGACACGATGTTTAATGCAAAAATATATGCATGAAAAATCTTTGTCACAGCTCGTAACCTAGCACGATACATTCACGAAGTTCCATATTTTTAACATATATCGTGATTTCCTGCTTAAAACGTTCAGAATAACACGATTTAACAAAAACCTTTCGCCAACTTCTGAAATTTATCAAACACGAGCTTGGTATCACAGCTGTAATTTGATTGGCTGCCTTAGGTCACGTGCTCAAAATTGACCAATCACGAAACTTGTAGCAGATTTCGGCAAGAAAGTGTCATTGGAAACCAATTTTAATCCAATGAATTCGCTTGTTATAACTACGGGGAAAAAACAGCCGATGTTACGAGCGTGTAGATAAAGGAATAAGCTTTCCAGCGATGTGTCATTTGCCATTCTTCGACGAACGTGTTTTTCATACGAAGTCTCGAAAACGGGGGTATTTCTTCATGTTACTGAGGGGACAGCCGCTGTTATCGGGAAATGGGTATAATTCTTTTTAAAATGATTTTCCAATTACGTAAACAATGAAAATAAAACAGAAATAGGTAAGTGGATTTTATGAAATCTTATATTTGCCGAAAATCGTCAAGTTTTTGCTTCCTTGGTCCTTAATCTGGATGTTAACAACGTGTTAGCTTACATTTTTTATTTACAACGAACTTAATTAAGTTGTAAATGCATTATTTTATATAATGTGAAAAACATAACTTTCATATTTATAACCATAGGATCAGACCTTTCAAATGGTGTATAACATGTAGAGCGCTCTAGTGGCAAATATATTTTACAAGCAGGTATTTTCTTTGATAAATGTTGGCTTCATCTATCACAAAAGAGTCTCTGGGAACTCGGTGTCCCAGCAGTAAACACTTCTGGTTGACTGGTGTTGAAAGAGTTAACGAAGGTCGAGTCGCAGGTGGTAGACGACCAACAGAACAGTATACATGCTCTGCCTAGTACCTATCACGATCTACATTGCACTTTTCACAGTTTCCAAAAAGATTAGAATATAAGTTATTTATGATTCATAGTGTAAAAAAAGATTTATCGAGTATTAGGCCCAATATACTTGACTTTGTGAATCAAAGATATTTATGTTACAGTTAAAATTATGAAGAATATAAAAAGTTAAAATCTTACCTTGGTTTATGTTTACTTAATTTTTCATCCTGATAGCGAGATTCTGAGATTAGTTAATATGACTCCCAAAAATTGATGAATGACTCCTAATCTGAAAAGTTTGGGGTCATAATGACTCCCAATTTTTAATGTCTAGGGCAAACCCTGAGTAAGTAAGGCATTCATTCGGACCAATGTCCCCTAGAAAATGGCACTCCACAGGGCAGTATCCCCAGCCCCACACTCTTCAATATAATGATAAACGATCTATTCAAGGGCCTATCCCCTAAAGTAAACACATCAAAATTCGCGGATGATGGAGCCATCTGGATCCGCACTAAGAGCAAGAAAATGGTCCAAAATTTACTCCAAAAATCTCTTAATAAAATACAACAATGGGCTGACAAATGGGGCTTCTCCCTTAAATTAGAAAAAACAACAGGAATAGTATTCAAACATAAAAACATGAAACCCGCCTCCCCAATCATCCAGCTAAACAATCAAACAATCAAATTTCAAAAACAAACCAAATTCTTAGGACTTATTTTCGATGAACATCTCACCTGGGATGCTCACATCCAAAACCTAACAACTAAATGCAGTAAAGACCTAAACACCCTAAGATGCCTAACTGGCTCTAACTGGGGAGCCTCCAAAGATACCCTCCTCTCACTCTATATATCACTAATTAGATCTAAAATAGACTACGGATGTGCCATATACGACACCCTAAACCAATCCCTAAGCAAAAAACTAGACTCAATCCAATATCAGGCTCTAAAACTAATTACAAGCACCCAACATGGCACCTACTACACCTCACTTCAGGCCTTAACAGGAGAAAAGCCACTAAGTCTACGCAGGGAACAGCTAAGCTTAAATTTCTGGGCCGCGTCCCAATCAAACCCTCTCATCAAAAACTTAATAAACCAAAACATCAGCCCCCAAAACCAAGCTCTAGCTCGTAAACACCCCTTAATTACCCCAATATCCCAAAGAATAACACTACCTAAATGAACACCAAATTAAAAATCTTAAACAAAACTGCAAACAATCAAATATCTTCACCCCTAAACTTAAAATACCCAAAATAGACACAACACTAGCTAGCCAAATAAATAAACAAACCGACCCAAACATAGCTAAAACTACAACACTAGCATACATACACGAAAATTGGCCAAATTGGTGTCACATTTACACGGACGGATCCTCAGATCCGACCTCCAAACACACAGGTTTCGGAGTCCATACCACACAACCAACTAAAACCACACAATCCTTCTGACTCCCAAACAACCAATCAATATTCATGGCAGAACTAATAGGCATGGCCTCAGCCCTCCATAATCAAGAATCCAAAAAACACACAAAAATCCTAATACTTACCGACTCTCTAAATGGACTGCAAGCCCTCCAAAACAAAAATACCAAAAACCGACCTAAATTAATAAATCAAATACTTAAAAGCTCCAACGACCTAACTAAGGCAGGCAAACACATAACCTTCTTGTGGATACCCGCCCACGTAGGAATATACGGTAATGAAAACGCCGATAAAGCAGCTAAACTATCCCTCAAAATCCCAGAAATAAGCTAAACATACCCATCTCAAAATCAGAAATTAAAAGTGTAAACAAGCAAAAAATCACACAAAAATAGCATAACCTATATCTAAACTCAAATAGCCAAATCAAAAAAGTGCTCAGCAAACCACTAACCAAACCAAAAATTCTCCATCCATCAAAAAAAATCGACAGAGTAATCACTAAACTCCAAACAGGACACACCAACCTAAATAACCACCTAAAAAAAATAAAAAAACACACTACAGGTAACTGCCCACACTGCAAACAACCAGAAACCCCAGAACACGCACTCATCCACTGCACACTCTACCTAAGACATCGAACAGCATTACAAACCACCCTCAATCTAAACAAGGCTCTCACTCTAGAAGCAATACTAAACCCACAAAATAAACTAGAAAACTTCAAGGCCTTAGGCGTATTCTTAATAAAAACGGAACTAATAAAACGCATCTAAAAACACAATAACCTACCAAATCAAAATCACATAAACAAACAAACATCCACCATACCCAGCTCCCTTAGTTCTCCTCCCCAACCCCATCGGCATCTATTCCAAATCTCAAAATTCCCAAATTCTATATAAGCAACCCTTAAACCCCCCTCTTGGGTTGCCCAGACCACTTTCGCCCCTTTCGGAAACACATTAAATGGCCTGGCCGGGCCCGTGTGCGAAATACGCATCAGTCGGGAAAGCACACGTTAAATCTCCAAAGTAAGTAAGTAAGTAAGGGCATTCATTCACCTGATGAAGGAGTAAGCATATACTCCGAAACGTTGTGTTCCTCATAATAAAGAAGTTGACATACATAAATTCTCTTTATTAACTTGTGAAGTTGTTTTCAATAACAAAATATACAAAAGTTGTTTAAGTTGTTTAAAAGTTGTTTAATTTAAGTTTCGTAAAAGTGTTGCCCATTTTAAATTGAATGTTTGCATATATAAAAATGCGTCATTGATCTCATCAGCTTCAAGATAAAAAGCACAACTGCACATTGTCAACCAGTCAACATAGTGAAGGGAGAGAACTCTAACCTTTGGAATGAGATTAAGCTCCAGCCATCGCTCACAAGCCACCACCACATGGTCTTGGTGGTACTGAAACATGATGTAGACAGAGTCAAGGTGAGCCAAATCATTGCCAAATTCATTTTAAACTCTTTCCTTTACTACTGGCTACTCAGGAAATCCTGAGATTCAGTAACAGTTAGGTTACTTACATGAGAGGCAGTGTGGTGATATGTACATGCAGTCTTGGAGCTGATAGACTTCAACATGATGTCACAACACCTGCAACACAACCACCTACATAGTGATCGCTCTACAGAAGCAGCATGTATGTTCATTGTCACAGGAATCCTTGTCATTCAACAAGTCAATCATTACATCACATTAACATGTGTGTGTCTTGACAATGAAAAGAAAGCTCCAGATGTAACTATATCTAATTTAACAGTACTGACCCATCAACAAGGGATTTGAAGTCAAGGATTGTAGCTACAACCAGCACTCCAGCCACGTCATTCACATCAACCTCCAGTTCATCATGGTACAGGTTGCCTAGGGCAACAGCCACAGCTGCAACACAATTCATTATTACACCACAAGCAATTTATGTTGGAATTACAAAAAGAAGAAAATCAAGTCTCTCAAAAACCACCCACCTCTTTTAGTGACCAGAACATCATCTATGTCCAGTGCTACTATTCCAACAAACACCCACCTGTTAGTGACCAGAGCATCATCTATGTCCAGTGTTACTATTCCAACAAACACCCACCTCTTTTAGTGACCAGAGCATCATCTATGTCCAGTGTTACTATTCCAACAAACACCCACCTCTTTTAGTGACCAGAGCATCATCTATGTCCAGTGTTACTATTCCAACAAACACCCACCTCTTTTAGTGACCAGAGCATTATCTATGTCCAGTGTTACTATTCCAACAAACACCAAGCTCTTTTAGTGACAAGAGCATCATCTATGTCCAGTGTTACTATTCCAACAAACACCCACCTCTTTTAGTGACCAGAGCATCATCTATGTCCAGTGTTACTATTCCAACAAACACCCACCTCTTTTAGTGACCAGAGCATCATCTATGTCCAGTGTGATTGTTGCCACTGTTCCTGTCCTCTGCTGTGATGTGTGAGCAGGATGCCCGACGCCCCTCTTTTCTCCAGGAGCATCACCCACAACGCTCAGTCGCTGACTGATGTCACGGTATTCATTGCTGTAGAATTCACTCTTTTTAATGTAGTTATCCAGGGTCTCAGAGGCAGAGCTTCGATAATATTTCTGTGAGGTGGGGTCCAGGGCAGAGAGCAGCAAAGTGGCCAGGGTTCCAGACTTCTGGAGAAATGGCCGGTGAAGCTCCCAGCTGAGGCCCAGGCACTCTAAGATCACATCTGAAAGCAGGTTGGTTTTACAAAATATTCTATCAGTGGAGGATGAGTTAAGTCAGTTTCATTCACAGGTTGTACACATCTAATATTAGGCAGAAAATGGTCATGGCTTAAGATCAAATACATAAATACTGACAAAGCCCCATGGAGAGTCAACTACCCAGCCCAGGAAGACAGGAGGGTAGGTTACAGCATCTATTAAAGGACTAAATATCATTATTTTGATGAATATGAATACTAAATTACTACAGCAACAAGGCCCTATAGGTCACATGATGTATGGAGTATAGAAAACCAGCCACCCATTATTTCAATACGTCATTGTTTGAATTATCCATGCAAAATGTAGTTTCACAGAGCATATGGTTAAAGCCATATCAGATGTAGAATACCCAGTAACTTACCTATGTCAAAACTAAAGTAATAACCTCAAAATATTTGTGCAAAGATTAGTCAAGAAGATGTGAGATATGATTGAGAAACAAGAGCATTACACACAGGGTGACATATAAGATTATATATATATATATATACAGATTTTATATTTGAATACTGTCTGAATTTACTGTGTTTGAATCCAAACTGTCAGTGGAACAAACATATTACATTTATAAACATTAAACATGAGCTGAGTCAGCACTGTGTATACAACATTTTAACTTCTTTACACAACTATGGGTATAGAATCAGAACATTCTAAAGAGAGATGGAGAGATGCAGGCCATGCCCCTATCCCCTGCAGACAAGAAGCAGACACCACTGTGCCATGTGGCTCAACATGTGTGTATGAAGAAGTTTTACAAATGTTGTCATTGGTGTTATGACTTCCTGTGGGGTGGTAAGAACTGGCTTCTGGGATGTCTCGTCATGTGACTGGCAGTTCACTTTTCTAAGCCCCTTTACAATCTTGACACTGGGTAAAGTTATACCTATATTGGAAAATTGCACCTGAAGATTATCTGTTCTCAAAAACTGATAATAGTTCCTTCTTAGAAGGTTGTCAGATTTGACTGTTGACAAGCACACAGACGTGAGGATGTGACCTCATGTCAGCGTCACCACACAGCACAGGGGAGTGTTAAGAAGGGGAGGTAAATACGGAGCTATGGCAGCTAGGACAGCAGTGACAGAGGTAGAATGCACTCACCACACTCTAATGGCTGCTCATCTGTCATATGGAATGGTATGAACAGTTAAATCTAACAACACAATACTTAGATTGAAAATGTAAACAACTGTCTCTCAGGCGAAGAAGCTTGACAAATAATTGTCAACAAACCTCTTGATAACTTTAGTGTCAGAAACTGTGATCAATGAGTGTCATCTATACAAGGCCAGGATATTGGCCTTCATATGTATATGCCAGAGAACCAACATCTTTTTTCTAATTTTAATTAGGTACTGACATCAGGAGCAATTTAACAGCAATCAAAATTTTCAGAGATTAATGTATAACAATATGAGTAAACAAAAGTATGTGTCATTATAACATGACACATGACATGACACATGACACAACACATGACAGACATAAAGTACAGCAGACGCCCTACACAGGGCAGTGTATCCTATTAGTACTGGAGTAGGGTCATACAGTTGTTGAAGCCGGGTTGGGTTGCATCTAAAGGGGATTGGCTGTTCAACACGTGTTTGTGGTCCGCTAGACACAGTGCTTTTTTTCTGCTTCTACAAACTTGGTTATTATCAAAGCTATGATTTGGAACATAAAAACATATTTGTGCTCTAACTTTGTAACCATGATCATAAGATAAATATATTTCATAATGAAGCCAACATAATTTCTGTTTACCAATAACAGGCAAGTGAGGGATTCACGTAAGTTACCAAAAGTTGTTGGAAGATTGTATATAATTTTATAGTGGTATATTTGGCATCATTGGAATATTGTTTCTCCCCTTAAGAATTATATCAGTTCCTGCAAGAGCAGATAATTAAACAGCAGTGGGGTCATAGATAATGCCATATCAGTGGAACTGCTATTCTGTTTAATCAATAATTTTGAATTTATCCTTCACATTTATTATAATTGTATTTACCGGTACCAATAGTTTTGATATACTCAATAACAAAAGTTCCTGTGACACCAATATTTTAGAGTATTTTTCAAACAAGTAAAGATTGGTCTTCAATATTGTAGTACATGTATGGAATCAAATCACAAAAACGCAACTGCTACAGAAAAGCATGCATTCCATTCAAAAGTTGACTTTTATGTAAGCCCCATGCATTTCACTGCCCAAGAATGGGTATAAAAACGTGTGCGCTGACGGGATTCCATATTGTCATGCTGACAACAACCACAAAATTACACAATTATTCAACATTACGAAATGCCATGCCTGTCCGAAAATGTGTGTCTGCAAGCAATTGGTATGCTTGAAGCAGAATCGAGTCAACATGATGTTGCAAGACAATTTATCGTCCACAGAAACACCATTTGGCAACAGACGAATGCAGTCACAGACCATTCTCAGAGTGGCAGGCCACGCTTAACCAATAATCAACAAGACAACTGAATTCGAACAACACAGCTACGAAATCGGTTCCAGCCAGCAACAGTGACTGCAAGAAGCATCCCTGACTTTTTAGCGTCGTCATGGCCCTGGCATTACCTTTCAAAATGACAATGTCCGGCCTCATATTGCTCGACTTGTTCAGGATTCTCTTCAACAAAACAACATGAATGTCATCACCTGGCCGGTTTGCTCCCCTGATCTCTCACCAATGTGGGATGAGATGGATCGGCGCCTTCAACGTCAACTACGTGTTCCACAGACACACCAGGAACTTCGAAACATGCTCCAGCAGATATAGACAGATATCCCGCAGGACTTTGTGCGATGAAGAGATGAGTGAGTGTGTGAGTTGGGTTTAACGCCGCTTTTAACAATATTCCAGTAATATCGCGGCGTGTCAGCTTAATGTGGGAGGAAAGCCCGAAGTGATGCAGGTCTCAGACATTTACCACTTTGGTGAAACCCACGAGCACGGGTATGGTGCTGACAAACCTAGAAACATAATCGGGGCGAACCTGGATTCAAACCCACAATCTTAGGTTTCTGGCGTGCCAAAGGGACGCAACTCTGCACAGCAAATCGCGGCGCCTTAGACGACTGGGCCACCTGTGCCCCCCGCGATGAAGAGATGAAGATGTGTTGCTTGCTTGTGTGGACACACACGCTATTGATTTGTAAATTGACATTTTGGCATGTTCATGTTTTTTATGAAATCACACATTTTCTGAAGTCAGTATGACAAATTAAACCATTTGAACACTTACAGGAGTCTTTTATCTGTTGCAAACTGAAATTGTTTCAGATTTGATAAAAAAAAATTGCATTAAATCTGATTGAATGTCACAGGAACTTATGTTGTTCAGTATATAATACATCTTGTGCGAAGAAACATGAGGGATGCCATTTAACTCATATCAGTCTATGAAGATCGAGTCGGACCCTTGCGCACAAGCAGTCAATGGAATTAGGTGCTGCAGATGTAGGAGGCTTTCACAAAACTCTGCATTGTGGGAAGGTACTCATCATACTAACAAAATAGTATTATTAACTCAAATTTACTAAAATGCCTACAACCTATTGACCTCTTTTTTTCTCTTGTTGAAAAGGATTCTTAAACATTTTTTTTATAATAATCATATGAGAAGTAATGTTCAGGTTCAGCTATAAAACATTGATATGTATTACTCAGTACATCCATATGACCATCTGGTTCAGTGTTGGAATGAAAACAATTATTAGTGGCTTGATACCGTAACAAGGTCTTATGAAAATGTTAATGTTTAGGAGGAGATCTCTCCTAATGGCTCTACGAGGAAGAGACTTCAATTGAGACACATTAAGGTCATGTAATACTTTAGACCTTCCAGCAATTTAGAATGATTCTATGACTATCTTTAAGTATCTTTATAATAGAGTTGGTTAGAAGTTATCCTTGTGTTAAAATATCTAGAATCAGAACAATGCAGTCCCGGTAAACACATGAAGATGTGATGTGAAGAAGACTTGGCATGCAGGGTTAGGACACACACACACACACATATATATATATAGATGACACACATGTAGCTGGGATGGAAGGGCAACTCTATTCTAATATGTTTGGAGATTTTACTGCTTCTTTAGTTTGTCATCAAGAGTTACTTCCCTTCAGCTGCAGACTTCCAGCTGTCTTGCTATGACCAGGTGGACAACACTTGTCATTAAGTTTACAAGTCTTCTGCACTAGGCACAGATGTGACAGTGACTGATGCCTCACCTGGTCCCACAAAACTCATGTTCTTCTTGGAGTGATACAGGAACACATCTTTTGGGGTGACTGGCCTGGCATTCTTTGGTGTGAATGTCCGAAGTGGACGGAGACTGGACGTTATGCTGTAAAGATAAACATCATACATACCTGAGGCAGTGTAGTTATCATTTTTACCCTGAACAAGACATCAGTCACACTTGGAACAATGTTGTTTCATTTGTGTAAGTTCTGATTTCTGATAATGAAACAGTTCGATCTTCTCTACCATGTACACGTTCATTTTATAATTGATCGAAACAGTTATGAGTGAATGAATGTTGTTTAATGACGACAACAATGTTCCAGGTATACCATGGCAACCTGTAAATATTCTAGAATCTAGACTAGATGAGATAAACTAGTGATACATATTATGAACAATTCCCCAGGCCATTGGATTGTGAAGACACACAATGAAGCCAAGTATAATGATAGCTTTGCCAATATGCCCCATCTAACACACGTACCACAGAATCTGAACAACTGTCACATCATATATTCATACAAGTTTGTTCCTTCCTGTGTGTGCTACTGCCTTTAGGGAAGACTGCTTAATTGCTCATTTCACTGAGAAATTTCATTGGCATGCACAGTGAAAGATGTTACACAGAAAAATAAATGTATTTAAGGTTACAACAAATTATTAGATTTTGTATTTAGGATATCTGTGTACATTAACTGTTGATGGCTGTGGTTCACACGAGGCGTGAATGTGTGGAAGGAATAGGTATGTATTTTTGTCAAGGATAGAAACACTACAACATTTTCCTTGTAGGCAAAATGATGGGAGATTGTGTGTTAATGAGGCAGACAGGGGTAAAAATCTAATAATTATTTCTTTCATGGCCTAAAAATCTACATCAGGTCTTTCAGTTTTTATTTGCAAACATTCTTTTTCAAAGATTTATAGGGGTAACATTATATTTTTTAAATGGTCACTAAAAAGCACAATTGGTTGGGTAAAAATACATAGTAGAGGTGAGCTATTAAATATGGATCATTCTCAAAATTGGTCCTTTTTATGTTTAGTTGAAGAATTCTCACAAAATGACCATTTGGGGGGGAATAGAAACAATATTTGAATACAAAATACATTCATTTATGAAAGTAAACAAGATTGAATCCCCTTTTACATAATTTAATCATATTAAAAATTGTAATGTTTTGACCAATTTCATAATTATATGGCTCATTTATGATCTATTCATTATACTTTGTTACCCCCCCTAGTGTTACAGTCTACTTGAGGCATACATACATAAAATGATATTCTTGTCAAAACAATTGCACTGTCAGTGGTGCAGCAAATCATAAATAGCTGAAATCTAAGTACCCGGGTACCTCACAACACAACTGTTATTCCAATGACCTAATTTATAATGCCACTGATATAATGCAATGTCCAACACACTCTTTCATCAAATGTAAAATGTAAATGTGACTTAAATGTGTTTTTCATGTCTCACAGAAAATGGAATTTAATTATGTTTTGTAAGAACAGCATTAAGACACCATAAAACAAATCTTAAATCACTGTTACACCAATGACAATTTGACATCAATTCGTTTTATATTATCATTAACTTCATTGTTCTGATAATGTAGTAATGACCCTGGTCTCATGGCAATATATCATTCCAGGTTTATTAGAAAATGTATTACTTTATTTGTAGAACTACGTTCCTCATGGCTATGTCAAAAGCGGTGAGGGTAACGACAAGTGTCACACATATAGTAGGCAAACTATTCATTTATATATTTTACATATATGCTTTTTAAAATAAGAACTATATATACAGTACATTAAAACAATATTAAAACTACATATATATTTTAATCAATGTTAAGAAGTATATTACATGCACAAAATTGTCTTTGCTGTGACAGCACTTGTAACTGGTGTAACACAAACATAAAAAGAACCTTTTCATTAAGCTCTGACGTTCAACAGGTTTGGTCCTCACTCTATGTAGGTTCATACTCCAATGAACTCATGCAAAGTGAAAATCAATTCTTATAATATTCTATCACAATTTCTTACCTCAAAGGATGTAGGCCTAGATCTATAAACAATTATATTTAGTATGTGTGACTTCATGTTTACACTGACAGCCATACAACAACCAGCTGTTGAAACAATAGTTTGGATGTGCATTTCTTCAATTTGTTCACTAGAATAGGTCATAGTGAGGATATTCGTGAACAATCGTGCAGTCAAACTCTCTGATGTTTCTCAGTGTATGCTAAAACGCTGAGTTCAATATTAAAGGGTCTAAATGATCAGCAAGAACACTTCTGTGATGGGGAATTCCCAGGGGTTCCCCCAAGAATGTGGAAGCAGTCCGTCAGGGTTTACGTGATTTCAAGAACATGGTCTCGCGAAAAATGTATGAACGTCAATTTTGCGATCATGTGACCAACCTCTTGTCCAAAGGAAAAAACGTATATTGTGTCGATTTTTTCACAATGATTTTAAGTCATGCGTGAAGTCGGTTAACTTTTGAATTTGGTCAAATGATGTAATGAAAAACAGGACCAATTATGAGAATGACCCATATGCATCGACCCCATACACATCATAAAGACGAGAACTCTGCCATGTCAACAGTTATTACATGTACTCTCTTTTTACCCTTCATGTTACAGAAATGTAAATGAATATTATGTTGATTGTCTTTTTTGGCAGTTCATTATGTTTGCTGCCTTGTTTCTTGAAGAATTAAAGACAAAAGTGTCAATCTCATTAAAATCAGATCTTAGTTCTTGCTACTGCTAAACAAAGATCTGAGGACATCCCATCACGGGTCACGTCAGACCGACCTTTCGCGAACTTTGACCGATCAATGGAATGACTAACAAGAAGTCGACAACAGCCAATCAGAAGGCAGCTAAATCGAGCTATACGGCACAAGTTTCAAACTGGCGACTATGCTTCGAAACATATTTCGACATTACTCGATTAAAGAATTAAAAACTGAACAAAAGAACATAGCTGGTCATAGATGGTCCAGATTGTAAGAATACAGAAATAAAGCCCATAACTGTCGTTTGGAATACCTTGTGTATTTTTTTAAAGTTGCATGATCAAACGCCACATTCCAACTGTCACTTTCATGATCTGATAAGCGATGCTCTGATAGGTCAGATGAAAGGTTGTTCTGACATGGCCCACATGTCCTCAGATCTTTGTTTAGCGGTAGAAAGAACTAAGATATAATTTGAATGAGATTGACAAAAGTGTGTGACTGTGAGAAAATATTAAAATAAAAAGGAAGTTTTTTATTAGGATATCATGCTTAGTAGATGGAAAAAAATGATTCCAGAAAAATAAAGACATTAAATTTTGTTTGTCTTCAAATGGTCACTGAATCTCTGAATCACTGAATCACTGAATGAACAAGTGTTCATGTTCACGCTGTTCTTCAAACTGGTCTTTAAACATGCAGGTTTGCAATCTGTGCAAAAATATATAAAATAGTGCATTTTAGATGTTTTTTAGCTTTTGGTAGGGCAGATCTTCACTCTTTTAGCCCAAAGTTTTTAGAAATCAAACAATAGCTATCATTGTGTATAATTCTAAGAATAATACCTCTATTACATCAGAGCCCTAAATTTCTATTTTGGCAATAATCACACCATAAAATCTTTTTTTCAACATCCTCTTCCAATTATCCCATTCTTTTTTAGGAAAACCCTATCCTTAGTCACAATGCATCTGTGAGGCGGGAAAATATCACTTCTTTCCAATAATCTTCATTGAATACATGTAAGATATATTGGGGAGGTGGGAGGAACTATTTCCTGATGTAATAAAGGTGGTATTCTTAGAATCATACACAATGATAACTATTGTTTGATAATTCCTACAAATATCCTACCTCTATTACATCACAGCCAGTATTTACCGGACAGGCGGGATCTATCATCTTGTACTTCCAGATAATTGGCAGCAGTGAAGTAGGGGAATACATAGAAAACACGGGGGTATGAACTAGGGCTGGGATGAGTCCAAATTTACTACCTGGGTACCCGGGTACCCGCTGTAGGTCTCAAGAGATAGGTACAAAATGTCCGATTGGGAAACGTTTGACCATACTCCTGTCAAAATGTATTTAGATACAGGTATAAAATGATCTGGTCATGCATACACTGAAGTTGGCTGAAGTTTTATCTTTATGCAAACATATAAAGTCAGAAGGAATGTGTGTATAGTCGGAAAGAAATGTGAACATATGTCACTTATAGTGTAACCATAGAGTTCCAGATAATTTTTGCCCTTAATTAAACAATATAATCCTGTGACTAACCATGGGTTTTGGTAGTCCTGTGGGTACCTGGCTCCTACTCCGTACCCACCCAACCTGAGTACCTGAGTTACCCGCCCCAGCCCCAGGCCTCGCCCTAGTATGAACCAATGCCGAACTTTCTGATTTTACCTTTGCAAACCTGAAAAACTTCGGCACTTTGTGGCATCCTTGCCATGCTATGACATCATAATTGTTACTTATTTGGTGATATATGACCATACTTATGAGGTTTCCCTCCGGTTCTGAGGTCTTTCATGACGTGACTTTTGGTTCATTCTCCTAAGTGACGTCACTTCCGATTGTCATTAAATCCGGATCTGAAGTCTGCCACGACAACACCAAGGATCTATGATCCCAGATGATAAGTCAGTGATCTGTCCAACCTGGTCAACAATAAACCAAAGGCTAACCTACCTCATTTTGTGGTATTTTCTGGGATCTTTACACACACACATACACCACACCCACCAGTCACACACACACTTCTTCAACAGAAGAGGGGCTGAGGGAGTATAGTCCCTCTAGATCGTGTCGTAGGTATAAACTGGTAAACGTATTGTGGGATCTCCATTGACAGCTTGACACTTGTTCCATGGATGATTCCATGTAGCCAGACATGTTGCTGAATTTTGCCTTGTTTACATTTCAAACAAGCGCAGTTCACCGAGCACAGCATTCGTTTCCACACCTAATTTATTTTACTTGATATCATCTAGACATTTTGTAATAGTAACAATGAAAATGTCAATGTCATTTGTTTCTAAATTGTATGGGGA